CAGGTGGCGCTGATTCGAAATGAATGCTTTTCAGGCCCTTCTTGCCTTCTTCTACAATCTCATCTTCCCCTGCCATAAAACATGTGAACATGGCTGTGGACTGTTCAACTTGTTCTACGGACCATTGTGCGGCCGCATTTCGGGCTCGCTCAAAGTGGCTCCTCAGGGATGCTGGAAGGTCATTAAGACTGTCATACGGATTGGGCCATGATTGTGGCCCTGCGGCTTGTGATGGTGTTAGCTGTGGTGCTTCAGCAGAAGGTCTGTCTGCTGAGTCAACAGATTCGCGCCTGGAAGGCATAAGCGATGACCCTCTTTCACTCTCAGGTTGGGTTTCAAGACGGGGTCTCACGTTTCTGTCGGCACGAGGGGCAACACTTGATCTCCGTCTGTCCAGACTGGAACTGGCAGCTTCAATCAATTCATCTGTACCATTTACTTCATCTGACATGTCTTCACCATCAATGGTGATTTCCGGTACAGTTACCCCTGCATTATCCAATTCTTCATCTTCGGGTATTGGTGGTAAATCCTCATTATTATCTCCCCAATTTATGAATGGTAGTTCAGCTCCCTCGCCTGAGGCAATTGGTTCAGGTGCCTCAAGTACGGATGGCTCATATCCGTCACTTTGGGAATCTGGGGAAATTCGAGCATCCAAAAAGGATTGCTGTTCACCTCCGATCACGACCTCATCAGGAATGACAGGCTGCCCATGGAGAACCGAATGCGCCAATGCTTCACTTGGAGTAGCTACCTTCACATTCTGACTGGCCACTAGTACCGGGACATTTCCACAAAGCAACCATAGGTTTCTCTCTCCCTCGTGGCCTATCACCCTACTTGTGGGACTCCATCGTGTGCCTCCCCGCTGGTTATCCCTGCGAAAAGTCACCAAGTCCCCGATTTCGAAGTCTCTCGGAAAAGGTGATGTGTTTTTGGTCATGGCTCGCTGGACACGCTTGGAGCAATCGAGGTATACAAATGCTTTCTGTGCTTCCTGCCTAGCAAGATGCTGCAAAGCAAAAAATGCTTTCGGGGTTGTGCTGGGCCTCCAAGGCTCCGAGCTCTGCAAATCGCTCTTCGGACAATGGACTGGGGTCTGAGCGTGGTGCCTTACCCAACACCCACTGTGATGGTGAAAAGCCTCCTACACGTGATGCATTATTCTTCACCATGAGCACTTCTTGCAGAACTGACTCAACCTGTTCTCTGCCAAGAGGTTGAGTTTCTTTTGAGACCTTTCGGAAAAGAGCTTTGGCAATGGCCCCGTGGCGCTCTACACGGCCAAGGTTTTCAGGTGCCTCAAGTGGGCTGTGATAAACCTGAATGCCATGATCGTCCATGTACTTTGACAGTACACCACGGTTATGCAACCCTCGGTCACACATCAAGTTCACTGGGTGTCCACTCCATGAAAACCAACGTTTCTGCAGGGCCTTCAGACATTCACTGGATGATGGCTGTCCCTGGCCTGTTCTGACAACCTCGCACAGTTGAAATGTCGTCCCAAGATCTACCATGTTCAAAACTTGAAACTTGGAACCACCTGCATCAATGATCTCAAAAACATCAATTCCCAAGCTATGGTTGAAAGAGTAGTTGTGGGGCAATGCAGTTTTGTGTGTGGGTTTCTTTCGGGATGTTTCTTCACATGCTGTGCACCTATGAAGTTTTACTGCATCAATGAACTCTGTTCGAACCCTGGCAGCACGAAGCAAGTGGATCATGGTCTGCCTCGGCACATGACCAAACTGACGGTGAAGTCGCCTGACAGCGATCCTCACTCTGGCTGGAAGCTTTTTCCACTGCTTGCGTCTCTCCACCTCATCTTGTGGAAGTCCTGGAATCTCGACTTCGTCAATGAGGGTTTCCTCAGAAATCAGTTCCTCAACAGGGTTCACCTGGGCTCTGTCATCGGAGTCCCAGAGGGCGTCAAGTCGTTGATGCTCTTCATGTGCTTCTTCATGCATGTCCCCCACAAACGCTATCCCCATTTGATGGTTCAAATCATCTTCCTTGGCCCAACTCCCAATCCAATCTGCAAACTTCCAAGACAAGACATCGTCCATCGTCTGTCCACGAAACCAAGATTCAAACTCATGGGTCCACTGTTCGTCATTGCATGTGAATGCCAAACCATGGTCATTGATATATGGTGTTTGGGGGTGTTGATGTTTCTCCCATCGATCAGTCATGGCAACATCTATGTGCAGAAACTTGCAATTGTCCAAGTCGCACATCAACTCCACTTCTGCCAGAAAACGACCATGTCCCAATGGATCATTTGGGTTGTTGTATCCAATGGCAATGACAATGTTTTGATACCCCTCCAACAGATTACAAAAATCTTTGGGGTCAAATTCAGGGTCAAGATGACTGGCCCCCACACCAACGTCGATCACGTCGACCGAAGGCTGGCCAGACTCCTGGACGAACACGAACGGATGGGAAGTGAAAACAACTGTCTTGCTATCTCGATTGGGATTGGAAATCAAACCAAGTCCACTCTGGATCATCATGTCGTTCTTGTTCAAATTGGCAATACCGTCCAACACTGCTTTACGGTGTTTCCTACCCATGGTGACTCTCTCATTGGGTTGGATGGCAATTGGACCATGTTCATGCACTTCAACATCGGTGTCAGAGTCCAGAACAACTTCATGCATGTTGGGACCATCTGGATCTCTGGCCATGAGTCCAACTGGCAGTACATCACCGGGTTCGGTTTTGATGATCACTTCATCCTTGGGGGGTTTCTCATGACAAGGCTTTCCATTGGAGGATTTGCTTTTCACAGGTTTGGCAACAGGGCTCTCATCGGATGAACTTGTGCTATAGTCGGTTGACTCATCTTTCGGGGTCTGAATCTTGGGGTTTCCCTTGAACATGTCATCATCTGTACAAATCATAAACCGACTTGGCTGTGGTGGAGTTGGAGGATTCTTTCGACTCTGCAAATGGACTTTTGTTTTGGGGACATATTTCTGGCTCTTTTGGGGCTCCGTTTTTGGTGCGTTTTGGGGCTCCGTTTTTGGTGCGATACTGCCCTCAAAACCCTGATCACCTGACAACAAAACCACGCGCCCCGTATATGCTCGCGGGCGCACGTCTCGATGTGAGAAGATCACCAAATCGGCCCAAGTAGTCGGGAGATCGACGTTCTCTCCAACAGCTTCTTCCCGTTGAAGTCTGTTCCACAATGTTCCTGCGGAATCACGTGGTCGATAGAATGACGATTTCACCCAACCCTGTCGATTCATCCATTTGCCACCTGAAATCAAAGTGCTCCTCACGTGGGATCTGAGCTTGATGTCCACCCTGATGCCTTGCTGCTGCTGCTCCTCATGAGGAAGGCTGGGGTCTGTAATCCAGATCACCCGATCTCTGTTTCCCCACAGTTTTGCAGAAGAGATGATCCAAGAAAGGATGTCTTCATCGACATTCCAGCAATATGGGTCTCCGCTGTTGTCGTTCAAGATGTCGCGGAGTTCCCTCTCAAGTCGCTGACGCTGAGACTCATCACATGGGCGTCGAATCGGTGGCCTCGGTGGTGATGGAGGGGTCCTTGGAGAAGGTACCCTTGGAGATGACACACGGCGTCTGCTTCGAGATCGCCGACCACGCCTGCCGCTCGAAGAGGATCTTCTTCTGGTCCTTCCACGATCAGCTCGTTCTCCTTCAAGCACCTGTCTCACAAGACCTGAGAGCTCCTGGACCTGATTAGCAAGAACCTGTACTGCTAAGTCTCGGTCTTGTCCTCCATAATCACGGCCTCGTTCGTCTCCTTCGTGATGTGCTCCTCCACGAGATGAGTCTCCAGCACTACGGCTTGGAGGTGGATATGCTGGAACATACCTGGGTGTCAAAGGCGTTCTCGTCGATGTACCTCCAAAGGATGGTGTCATAGGAGCACGGACTGGAACTGGCACAGTCCTGGATGGTGTCAACGTGGGGATAGATCTCGTCGCCGTTGTAGTAGGCCCTGGTGCCGGTGGCCTAACAGGCTCAGGCGGCCTAGCAACTCCTGATGACCTATCAGGTTCATCCACATCCACAACACGCACGTCAGGAAGATGCCTGTTCATCAAGTTTCCAAGCTCTCTGGTGTCGGCTGTTGCACAAAGACTGCAATGACCTCCACAAGTCATCTCACGCCACTCCGGGCTGTGATAATGGATCAGCAAAGGCTTCCTCCAATCAGTCACGTCCAAGAAGTAGTAGATCAAAGCTGCCAATCCAACACTGCGATGACGACCACTGGTGCAGTACAAGTGGATCACGAGCTTCCCATTCGGGTTAGCCCTCAAGAAATCTGTCACCTGCTCAACGAGGTCATTCATTGCCTCATGAAGTGCAACTCCTCGGATAATGCTAGGATGTCGTCCAGTGCAACCTCGGATCGATCTGTCGCTGTCAGGATCATGGAAATGCCTGCAGTCAATCTGAAGAACCTTAGCACCAGGGAAGCTTGGCTGTCGACCTGTCCAACGAGCACCTGAAGTGACCACAAGGCATCGGGATCTGTCCAGTCCCCTCAGGCAGTTGTTCACGGCACCTTCGATGTGATCTGCGCTTGACGAGCTGTAGCCACTTGGAGACCTCAACATCTCACTGGCCGACGGCGAACCAGGCTCGTCGGATAGGGCGGCAAAGGCAGTTCGAAACTTTCTGTGGCACTTTGGGATCTGTTGTGAAATGTGATTGGACGTTTTTCCTGTCGGATCAATTTGATTTGGGGTGATTGCTAACATCATCAAACCTGTATGAGAACATCTGAAAACTGGCAACTGATTACCATCAATGGATACTGTTCCATTCTTCAAGTCCTTGACAAGTCCAAGATGGGCTTGAGCATGCAGTGACAGCAAGAGTGGTGATGTCCCGGAGCTAAGTTGGTGCGTCTCAAGTACCCCATGAATGGGTGTACACTTGCTGTCCATGAAATTCAGGCTGAAAGGCAATGTACGGGATCCCTCGGTCGAGGTTCCCCCGGTCCCCAATCCAGAGAAGGTTTTCCCCTTGGTGTCATTGAATGGAAACTGGTATCCCAAGTTCTTCAGCTTGGCAGTTACTACCTCAGCCCAATGTTTGGAGTGACAAGTTGAGTTACACCCCTCATCCAACACGACATAGATATTGGGATCACTCATGTCGTACATGTCACGGGTCTCTTGGAACACATGCACCAAGCCATCAGACATCTCTACATCTGGCTCGTCCCCATGAAAACACACTCCGAGACCTGCAAAATCTTCCCCAGGGTTTTCCACATCACCAACCATGGTAAAACTGCTGTCTCCTTCTGCATTGGCGATGGATTGGTGGAGAAGTTCATGCAGCTTGGTCGAAGTGATGGCCTCAGATTCAGAACTGGTGGCGACTAAGGTGGCAAAATCATTGAGGATCATGTCCAGCATGTCGGGGCTAAAGGTCGCATCTTTGGAATCATCAACCAGTTGTTCAATGATGGAAACTCTTTCCAGGGGTGCTTCCAAGACTTTGGTGGAGACTGCTTTTCGGGTCCTTTGGAGCTCCATCGGAGTCTCATCCAGATACGTGCAACACTGCTTACAAAAGGTTCGGTGAACAGACCTTGAAGAACCACGAAAATCCTTGTCTTCATGTGGACACTGGTCATAAGGATATTGGGGGAGTAGTTCTCTCCTGGTAGTAGTTGAATGGCCACAAACCAGACATGTCTCCTTGATGGTGTAACCCGTACTCCCCTGACGAGTGAATTGGGTGCAATTGGCACACTTCTCCTTTGGTGGATTCGGTGGCTTCCTCAAACGTGTGTGTTGCTTTGGAAGAGGTGGTGGTGGCTCCAAACTACTTCTGCGATACACTATGTTCCCCCGATACTCAAAGTTTTGGTTCACCCACTCGGCATACTCTGAGGCTCCTGGACTCTTGGCGTTCTTCTGTGTCCATGCAAAGTAGTCAGGATGATCATGCAAGATCTCCCAAAACGTCTTCCCCTTAAACTGGCCAAACTTGAACTTCGCGTTACTCCCAATAGGTTTTGACGGGTCATTTCGTCCTACCGGAGTTGTGGAAGGTCCCAAACTGGGTGCCTTTGAAAGGGCAGCTGCACTCTTGATGGCCATGTTTGCAACTGGTGTTTTGGGTGATGATGCACTCAAGAAAACTCCCTCATCTGATGAAGATTCCGAGAAGTCTGCAAAGTGCGCTGTTGGCCTAGGAGGATTCGATGGGGGTTTTGAATCCTTGGCATTAGCATTCCCCTTTGCACCTGGGAATTTACAAATGGGGTCACCTGCCCAGTGCCCGTAGGCGCCGCAGCGAAGGCATTTTGACTTGGCCTTAATCTCGGAAAGGCGCTTCCTGCGCTGTTCGATGGACAAGTTGGACCTGATGATTTTCCCTTTTCCTTTGGGTTTGCCTTTACCCTTTCCTTTCACACGTCCGAAGGCTGCGAATGCAGCTAGTTGGAGTTGGAGAGCTTCCCCAAGGCTCTTGTCATCTTCAGTTGATTCATCTCCTACATCCACTAGTGCATTCAGGGCAGTGGCTTCATACTCATCAACTTCGTCGTGAAAGTCAAAGGCTTCATAGGGATTGTCAACATTTGGACTTGATTGTTCTGGATGTTCCTCGATCCCACCAAGCAGACCTACGTATGGTGCATCCTCTTCATAGTATTCCTCTTGGTATTCATCATAGTCACCATAACCATAGCCTTCCTCATCGGGATAGGCATTGTAGGCTGTCTTGTAGGAACCTTTACCACTTTGGGGTCCTTTGGAACTTCCATATCCCTTACCAGACTTCCCATACTGTTGTGGGGTAGATGAACGTCCAACCCAAGACTTGGATCCTTCCCTCAAATGGATTCCTGAATACTGATCAACCAACACCTTAGCAACTCCTTCAAAGTCCTTGGTGGTGGCACATGCTTTTACGACCAGTACCTCTTGCCGGCTCAGACCTGACAATTCAAGCATGAGCTCCATACGGAGTCCATCTGAAAGTGCCATGGAAGGATCAAGCTCGGTCAACACTCTCCACCATCTGCGTCTGCGTTGAGTATAACTCAGCATGGGTTCTTGGGGTTGTCGGGACAAAACTCCACCTGCTTTCTGCCCTGCTCTGAAGAGTTCTTTGGCTTCTTCTTGAGCTCTGGGAAAAACATGGGCCTTGATTCGTTCAACCAATCGTTCAAGACCTTCCTCTTGGGACAGAGTCTCCAAACCGAGATCTCTGGCAATGAGAAAGGCATCACCTCGAAGACCTTCTACGACCTTGTTGACTAAGACACTACGATCTCGACCCGTGTCATCCCCTTTAGGGCTTCGACTGGCAGAGGCTCCGGCTTCGTCATCTGGTCGGCCTGGGCGCGGATGGGGTGAAATCCCAGCATCAGCTTCAGAGTCCGGCCCAACGGGCTCGGCACTCCTTCCGGTTGGGGAGGATTCTACATCTTTCTTTGAATCAAACAGCTTTATTCGCAAAAGGGTCCGGAATTCCCAATCATGATAATGTGCTGCATCCCCATGGTATATGTATGATCCACTCTTGGTCTCTAGGGGCACAGTGGATCGGTCAGAACCAAACCTAAGTCCAGCTACTGACATTTCTACGATTCCTTTGCGATGGACTGCCTATACCCAAGGTCAGCCAATTGCAGGTCTGTCCCACAGGGATCAGACGATTTCGGCAGAAAAAGTTCCAAGAACAAATCCGATTCAAACTTCTACTATTTTCAATCCCTGGATCTGACACGTACCCGGAGACAGGTCGTCACCTGCTCCGCTACCAATGTGAATTGGCAACGGTATCGTGCAGTCCAACGCGGCTCTTTTTGCTAGTAGCGATAGCGATGTAGCTCAAGGGCCCTGATAGCCGAAATGGCAGCAGACACTACATGTGACAACCTGGCCTTTACATGGAGTATCACATACCACAAATTGAGAATATATATATATATATATATTAACATATTAGATTAACATATATATATATATGTATATTAGCACATATAAACCAAATCAAATGGTTTATGATCATGTTCATTCATGTCCCCAATATGATCCCCATGGAAAATAACCTGGGGAAATGTCCAAACATTCAAAAACACAAACTCAGGGGGATATAGACTCTAGTTTTAAAATGCTGTATCATAAACCATAGTTTAATTCCAGTCATTTAATAAGCAACTAAACCAAGTAGTTGATAAACCCATTAATTAACTATAGTTACATTCATTAGTTTTTTTTTGCCCATTCACTATAGTTAAGTTTAATATAAACATGAGTGTTTAAACCCATGTTTTTTAGCCCTTTCTTTCAACCAATGAAAGCCACAAAAAACGTCCCCGCCGCTGCCCGGATTTCCGGTCCCTGGCCTTCTTTGGGACCTTGGCTCGAACGGATGTGCTGATCCGTAAACGTGTTGGATTCAACAAAAGACCGACACGTCTTTAAGGATCATGCGTTTTGGGATATATATATATACACTATATATACACTATACATGCAAATCTTAATGGATGATTATGTGTTATATATATACACTATATATATATTATATCTACAATCTAAATGAATGTTTATATATATAATATGATTTTGCATTTGCATGATGTAAATATGTATCATCTATATTTTTACTCTATCTATAATCCTCCATGTATGTTTCCTGAGGTTGAGCTGGGCTGCTCTCCGAGAGTGAACCCGGGTCACTCTCCACTGGTCGTCCCGGTCGACCCGCAGTGGAAGATCCATTCAAATTACCCGGCCTGGTAAACCTACAAAAAAACTATGGAAAATCATGGGATTTATAATGATTCAATGGAATTTTATAGTGATTCAATGGGATATGAATGGGATATACCCTCTGGTAAACATACATTATAGGAAAAATCACCATTTTTAATTGGTAAATCAGCTATTTCTATGGCCATTTTCAATAGCTATGTAACAAATTACCAGAGGGTAGATTACCAAAGGCTACACTGCGGCCCCAAGTGACAAGTTGCTGAATGCTCACCCATCGAACTATGACAATATTTACCTACCATTTAAACCAGATTTAACCCAGCCAGTCTGTGAAATAAACTTTCTTTTCAACACAAATCAAGCAGTTTGATAGGCTAAATCAACCACTCATCCTCATGATTTCATTTTTTTTAGTGAAATTCCCTTTTTTTTGACAAATCTACATAAATCCTTCAAACAAATTGTATCTTCAAGGTGTTCTTTTTTGTGAACTCACCAACTGGAAATCGTGGTGTTTTCTCGTAACTCGTTCACTGAGTCTCCCAGCCACGTCCAAGCCATAGGAACCGGTGCCATCGGTGACACCGCTGCTGATACCGCTCCCGCTCACGGCAGAGGCTTCGGACTGAAAATCCTCAGGCCTCGAACGGTGTATTTTCGCTCGGTTACGGCGATACGGCGATGGAGATTTTTCATATTGGATCCAAAATAGACAAAAAAACATGGGGTTAACTATAGATTGAAAAAGCCATGAGTTAATAAGAGTTAATAACTAAGTTATGGTTGTACACTAAAAATAATGGTTAACTATAGTCGACTAGGAAGGGACATTTGGATTATAATCATGATAGACTATAGTTAATTTGTTT